ACTTTGACAATATGCCGGTGATAACAGTAAAGAGAAAAGAATGATCCTACCGCATGTCGCGAGGCGCCGTTCACACAGAATGTGCTTTTGTGTTGATAAAGAAGCGACGTGTGCAGAGAATAGGAAAAACAGACAAGAAGATTTGAGTTGAACTTCTCTTAAAGGGGTCGCGATTTCAATTTTTCCTTTCTCTTTTGGAGTGTTACAAGCTGTTCGTGAATAGATAAGATCCCTAAAGTTGCAAAGACTAAAGTCTCAAACATGACAGGCCTCTCATCTTTTTAAGTGGGAGAACTTGCACAATTGGTGGCTGACTAAATACTTTTTTTCCCCACTGTATGTCTGATATTTCATGTTTGCATCATGGTGACAGGCTGGAAGCTGCTGTTCATTGTTTTCACAGAACATTTATTATTAATAGTCTACTGGTGTTATAACGTCAGTAGTCAGAAAGAGCTTTATTATCAAGTATGTTTACATACACAAGGAATTTGACTTAGTGACAGCTTCCAGTGCAGAATAAAGTATGGACATAGTTCAAACTAGTGCAGCAGACATAGGAATTACACAGTAGATATTGAGTATAACACTAAGAAAAGCAGAAAATGAAATAATGCACTATATACAGAAATAGAAATATAAAGAAATGTAACTGTTTAACTGAATGTACAGATATATTTACAAGTGTGCAGTTTACAAATGTACACTTTTTGGATTCTATGTATAAAGTCATACTGTTACATTGACTGTTGGTCAATGTACATATTACACCTTACATATTACATTGACTGAGAATTTTTTGAAGCATTTTCATTGTAGCCTATTATTTCTGAACATATAACATGTATAAGACAAGTTTGTACAGGATGTAGTTGTAGTTCATGCATCTTTTCTGCAAAGGTATTTAACAAGTGATTTGTTTAACATTTACATGTTGACAACTTCATGTGTGGTGCACTTGGAAAATAATTTTCTTCAACTAGAGGGTTAATAAAGAAGAAGTTATTTGAATCATGTTGTACATTTTTAAGTTGACTAGTTAAAAATCGTAAAAAATTGAGAATCGGTCAAACGTTCTGAAAAAAGATTTTATTTTTATTGCCAAATCACCCAGCCCTACATCAAACATTAAACAGCATTTAAATCAAAACTGCCTAACGTTACAGAATGAAGCCATGATGCGCTATAGGACTGTGCAAGCTTTGGGGGTGTTGATGGAAGCGATCTACTCCATCTCTGTTTTGATCATTGATCTGAATCCGATCCGGATGTAGTCTTTTACAAAAACTTTTACAGTCATTTATGTCACAATATTTTTAGGGATTAAACATGATTAAAAAGTATTCACAAAAGTAATATTCTTATGACTATCAAAAATTTTATAAATTTGTAATTAAAAAAAAAATGAAACTGCTTCATAAATAAATAAATACTGTACTTATTTTGTATTTTTTAAATATAAAAATACTGTTTTATCTATCGGTTCAATATTTTAAAATGTTTTGTTGTTCAAAACCTTTTTGACATCTACATATAATTACTCATGGTTAATCCTAGGTGTATATGACTTCTTTCAGACGAATCCAGTCGAAGTTATATTAGAAATGGATTTTTATCTTTTAAGCTGTTTAATAGCAGTCAGCGGGTGTTTCAGTGCATCAGTCCAAATGAAGTGAAATAAAAAGCGTCCATCCATAATAAAAACACAGCTCCGGGGGGTGAACAAAGGCCTCCTGTAGCGAATCGATGCGTTTTTGTAAGAAAAATATCCATATTCAAAAAGTAAAAGTCACTTTCATCTAACTTGCGCCAACAGTTGTACACAGAAGAAGCTCTGGGAGGATGACGTATGAGGTCAGTGTTGCACATGCACCGGTGAGTCTCGTGAAAACCGATGTTTGTT